TATATGTGTGTGTATAAATATATGTGTTTATATATACAATAATCCAGTCAGTTAGATATAAACAACAACTGAGTTTCTCCTGTTTGTGTGGGATGTAAAACATCTTCTTTAGCTTATTAAAAGCTGTTTGGGAGATGGGTTTAAAATGACTACTGAACGTCAGATCGGAATCTAGCAGCACACAAAGATTTCAGACTTGATCTTTGCTTTTAAAAGACAGTGACTCGAGGTGTTTACTAACAGCAGTCTTCTTTTCTTATAGCTGTGTCATCTGCATAACTGTGATAGCTAACATTAATTTCTCAGTCTTACCTTATCATAACATATATAGAAGAAAAAAAGTGGCCCAAGTCCTGACCCTTGAGGTACCCCACAAGCCACTTTGATCTGACGTAAAAAACCAGAAAACAAACTTTCTTTGGTTTCCATCAGATCACATTGATGCAAACTAAAGGCAAACATCTAATACATTTGGATTTAGACACAATTAAAATTCTGAATAATTTGACTTTTTGGGCTTTCTGTTGTGATTGAGCTCCAGATGTTGCAGGTTCTTCTAGACATGAAGCAAAAGGTGATAAAATAAAATCAGCCAATGACTTGTGACCAAACAGTCTGCTTATCTTATATGTGGACGTTGTCAATGTTTTGCTTTATTCTTCATCTTCCCTTCTAGAGAGCCCGAAAATGAACGAGATGAGCCGATGAGAAGCGATCGGTTGGGATTATCACACCGTCACATTTTGGAAAAAAAAAAAATGAAATCCAACACTGTGAAGTGTGAGCCTGTGGAGCGGGACGAGGAGCGATCCTGGAGCTGAAGGCCTCCACCTGTGCTCGGTGTGAAGCCTCTCAGGTGTGTCGACAACCTTTTCTGGCTCCAGGTTTGGATTTCTGCTCCTCGGTCAGCTGTGAGGAAAAGACTGAACCTCCAAGTGTTCAGAAACCACATTCTGCCGCTCGTTTCTGCTGGTGAACAAGTAGAACGTGCATGTGGCTACGTTCTTATTCATGGAGCTGTTGCTGCACCTTCAGACCTACCTGTAATCCAAATTTATCTCTGAATCACAGCAAGCTTTCAGCTGCACTGAAGCTCAGATTATCCTAAAACTCAATCCGAGCTGCAAACGGACCGAAGATTATCCACCAAACAGCTAATTCTCTCTACATGACCGTGTTTTAGCAGCAAAACGAGAAAAAGATGAGTTCAAACTGAAGTCAGTGTAAATAACTTCAGTTTGTAAATCAAACTGTCACCTTGTTAAAAAACATCTGCTATAAAAATATGTTTCAAAAAGATTTATTTAAAAAAGGGTATTTAAAAACAGAAAAAAATATGTTTATTTGTGTACAAGAGTTTTCATGTCACTCTGACAACAACAACAACAAAAAAAACTTTTTGTTTTTAAATTATATCTAGTTTTAGGTTGAAAGTTGTATCAAAAACCAAACATTTTGGCGTAAAATCATGTTTTGTGTGATTTAACCACTGAATTTATTGGTTATGATTTCAGAGAAATTGGTTAAAATTACGTACAAGCCCAGTTTTGGAGAAGTTGTGATGTTCTGTAAAATGTAAATAAAAACAGAATGCAATGATTTACAAATCTCATAAACACATATTTTATTCACAGTGGGGCACAGTAAACATATCAAATGTTGCAACTAATAAATTGCTGAATTTTTGGGAAAAATAAGGAAAGTTTGGATTTGTTGGCAACAACACAACTCAGTAAAGTTGCCAGAAACAACAAAAGGCTGTAAAGGTAAGTGGTAGGAACAATGAGCAGGTGTAGGAGCACTTTATAACTAATGAGGTTCTTTATCAACAGGTCAGTCGAGGACTGAGTATAAAAAGACTTTTAGAAGTAAAGATGGGCAGAGGTTCACCAGTCTGAGTCTGAAACCAGTGGACACATTTCAGAATAAAGCTCCTGAATGCAATACTTTAATCTCCATCATTTACAGTTCATAATCTGACCAACAGATTAGAAGAATCTGTAGAAATCTCTGAGCTCAAAGGAGGAGGCCTTCAGGGACCACTACACTGAAACCAGGTCTGGTTCTGTTCTGGACTCAGGACCACTTCCACAGATCATTGTCTGTAAACCCAGTTCATTCACAGATGTTGCTTAAAGCTCTATCAGGCAAAGAAGAAACCAGATGTGAACGCAGCCCAGAACGTCTGTCATCTTCTCTGGACCAGAGCTCATTTCAAATGAACTGAGGTGAAGTCCAGAACTGTTCTGTGGTCAGACAGGTTCAAATCTGAAGTTCTATTTGGAGGACGCCACGTCCTCTGTACTAAAGAGGAAAGGAACCATCCAGCCTGTTATCACCTCACAGTTCAAATGCCTGCCTCTCTAATGGTATGGGGGTGCATTAGTGCCTCTGACATGGGCAGCCGACACATCTGGAAAGACTCCATCAATGTAGAAACGTTTCTACAGGTTTGAAAACATCTGCTCCATTCAGGATTGTTGAACAGCTGGAATCCTCCATCAGACCAGAATGGGCTCCAACAACTGGTCTCCTCTGGTCCTCCAACAACTGGGCTCCTCAGGTCCTTCTAAACATCCAACAACTGGGCTCCTCAGGTCCTTCTAAACCGCCAACAACTGGTCTCCTCAGGTCCTCTAAAACCTCCAACAACTGGTCTCCTCTGGTCCTCCTGAACCTCCAACAAATGGTCTCCTCTGGTCCTCCAACAACTGGGCTCCTCAGGTCCTTCTAAACCTCCAACAACTGGTCTCTGGTCCTCTAAAACCTCCAACAACTGGTCTCCTCTGGTCCTCCAACAACTGGTCTCCTCAGGTCCTTCTAAACATCCAACAACTGGTCTCCTCAGGTCCTTCTAAACCTCCAACAACTGGTCTCCTCTGGTCCTCTAAAACCTCCAACAACTGGTCTCCTCTGGTCCTCTAAAACCTCCAACAACTGGTCTCCTCTGGTCCTCCTGAACCTCCAACAACTGGTCTCTTAAGGTCCTTCTAAACCTCCAACAACTGGTCTCCTCAGGTCCTCTAAAACCTCCAACAACTGGTCTCCTCTGGTCCTCCTGAACCTCCAACAAATGGTCTCCTCTGGTCCTCCAACAACTGGTCTCCTCTGGTCCTCCAACAACTGGTCTCCTAAGATCCTTCTAAACCGCCAACAACTGGTCTCCTCAGGTCCTCTAAAACCTCCAACAAATGGTCTCCTCTGGTCTTCCAGAACCTCCAACAACTGGTCTCCTCTGGTCCTCCAACAACTGGTCTCCTAAGATCCTTCTAAACTGCCAACAACTGGTCTCCTCAGGTCCTCTAAAACCTCCAACAACTGGTCTCCTCTGGTCCTCTTGAACCTCCAACAAATGGTCTCCTCTGGTCCTCCAGAACCTCCAAGAACTGGGCTCCTCAGGTCTTGGAGATGCTTCAGTTAACTTGGAACAAATTAAAAGATTTGTTTTGCTGCTTTTAAATGAAAAATGAAGTTACCGTTTCCTAAAAATTGTCCCCATTTTAGTTTAAACTTTTTTAACATGTTTATTTTGTTCCACAGCAAATAATTTATGAGTTTATGACATTTATAAATCACTGCATTCTGTTTATATTTACTTGTTTGGAAACTTCCCAACTTTTTCAGAAGAGTGGCTGCAATTCATCGTCTTTAAACTGACCGAGTCAAAGAAATGTTTGTTTTCCAAAATCGGTTGGCTGTGGCAGCCATCTTGAATGTGGTTGACCAAAATAAATCAGTTGTAGACAAATTCTCTTGAAGCATCACTAAAATCTCTCATGGCTCATGAGATATTTTGCTAACAGACAGAACAGTTAGTTTGTTGGCGCTCAGCCGGGTCAGCTGTAGCCGTTTTTTGTGTTTGCTAAGGTCAGTTAGCATCAATATGTGAAACAATGGC